AAAAAAAAAAAAAAAAAGAAAGAGAAAAGAAAGAAAAGAAAATATCTTCATGTAACCTCATCTCTTCTATAATGAATATGCAACAATGGAAATGAAATGATTTATTTGCAAGCTTTGTATCTTTCTAAATAAAATTTATTCCCAGATATTATAAATCTTTTTGCATTTTCACTCTTAATTGTGTATTATTATTTTAAATTAATTTATTTTTATTTCCTGTGTACTCATTTGCCTGCTTGTATATCTGAGTGAAGGTGTCAGATCATCTGAAACTGGAGTTTCAGATAATCAGTTATGAGCTGCCTTACGGGTGCTGGGAATTGAACCCAGGTCCTCTTAACTGCTAAGCCATCTCTCTATTCCCAGTTGTTTATTATCACATTTTGTGGTAGGGTCTCTCTGTGTCCCTGGCTGTCCTGAAACTCCCTAAGTAGTCCAAACTAGTCTCAAACTCACAGAGGTTTGCCTGCCTCTTCATAGTCCTGCAATGTTAATTTTTATCAGTTTTTTCCTTTAGAGTTGGTATTTGTGTTCTGCCATGAGCTACTTTTGCTTTCTATGGCCAAGTTAGTTTGCTATTAGAGTTGTGCTTTTTTGTTTGTTTTCAAAGAGTTGTACTTTTTACATTTAGGTGTGCACTTACTTTGTCAAGAATTCTTTTTCATGAGGTAAAAGAGTCAAAGTTGCTGTTCTTGCTAGGTGTGATGGTGTGAACCTTGTGACCCTTGCAATTAGGAGGTCGAGGCAGAAGGGTTGAGGAGGATCAGGACTGTCTGAACAACATACCTATTAAAACCCTATCTAAAAAGAAAGTTCCCAACCAAAATTTAAAAAAACAAAAAACAAAAAACCTAAACTAAATAAACAAACAAAAAACCAAAACCAAATTCCATCCCCAGTCCCTAAGTCCCCAGTTGATATAGACTTAGCACTATTGGTAAAATATTAGGTTCCTGTGTTAACTGTGGTTACTAGTTGGTAGGCAGAGTAACTAGTTGTGTAGGTGTCTCTCTCTCTTTTCTTAATTATTTATTATACATACAATATTCTGTCTGTATGTCTGCAGGCCAGAAGAGGGCACCAGACCTCATTACAGATGGTTGTGAGCCACCATGTGGTTGTCAGGAATTGAACTCAGGACCTTTGGAAGAGCAGGCATGCTCTTAACCTCTGAGCCATATCTCCAGCCCCACTTTTTCGTTCTTTCTTTCCTTTAAAAAAAAAAAACAAACTAGTCGGGCGGTGGTGGTGCACGCCTTTAATCCCAGCCCTTGGGAGGCAGAAATAGGTGGATCTCTGTGATTTCAAGGCCAGCCTGGTCTACAAGAGCTAGTTCCAGGACAGGCTCTAAAACCACAGAGAAACTCTGTCTCGAAAAAAAAAAACTGATAACCGCTCCCCATCCTCTCCTCTCTCTCTCTCTCTCTCTCTCTCTCTCTCTGTGTGTGTGTGTGTGTGTGTGTGTTTGGAGACAGGGTTTCTCTGAAGCTTTAGAGCCTGTCCTGGAAGTAGCTTTTGCAGACCATGTTGGCCTCGAACTCAGAGATCCGCCTGCCTCTGCCTCCCGAGTACTGGAATTGTATCAACATCACATCGCTCTTTATGATTCTCTTAACAGCTGCAGCATTTATTTTTGTTTTTTTGAGAAAGTGTCAAGTAGCCTACTCGAAGGTGACCTTGAATTCCTGAGCTTCCTCCCTCCACCTCCGAAGAGCTGGGATAACAGGAATATGCCAGGACACCCAGCTTTGCAGCGTAAATTAAGTTCTTCTGAAAACCAATGGAACCCAAGTCACTACTCAGAATTTCCCTCCGGAAGACTTAAGGTAAAGGACTTAAGCAGGAAGATTTCACTCAGACCGCAAAGGTTAAATTACCCTACGCCGCGGCGAATCTCCAAAGCGCATGTGCTCTCCAAGCGTTGTGATTGGGCGGAGCCAGCTGCATTACGTCAATTCCGAGGCGGGAGGATGAAGTTGATTAACCATGATCTCTCCGTTCACTAGGTAAAGGCTGGGGATGTAGGAGTCCCTTGGTGAGAATGAATGAGGGCAATGTCCCGCCCATAGCTGAGGCGCGCGCGCGGTGCACCCATTTCGAGTGACTCCTAGTCCGGGCGAGGTGGAGCAAGCTGCGGGAGGCCGTGGGCCCCGATGGCTTCCGGTTTCCCGCGGCGCCCCACTTTGAAGGAAGCTGGGTTCTGGCGCCGGGACTGGAATGCTGGCCCCGTGCGCTCATACCGGAGGTCGCTGGGTCTGCGTGTGTGCGTGTCGGGGTCTACGAAGGGCACCTGCGCCTGAAACGTGCCTAGGTCGCGTGCGCACAGCTACTGCGGCGTGTGTGGATGCGTGACCCCGGGCTGGAGCGCTCGGGCTCGTGGCTCCCCAGCCCTGGCAGGGTTAGCATGAGCGAAGAAGATCTGGGTTTTCGGAAGGATGGTCAAGATACTGACCCTGGAACATCCACGGGAATGACTTTCTTAGATTCGACACTCTTTCAGCCTAAGGTCTGCCGCTTAGCGGGTGCAACTTTGGGCAGAGGTCATTCAGCGACCGTTTCTTCAGTTAAAACTTTAGGAATACGACAGTAGTGAAGTGTAAATGAGATTTCTATTGCAAGGGCTTAGCTAGTCGCCGCGCGTAGTAGGTAGTCAACACATGGTACACACCCACTTCTCTTCAGATCATAAACCTTCAGTATAATGATTTGAAAGTTGATCCACATTCCTTTCCACACGAACACGACCTTGCACTATCTCTCAGGTGGGTATCTAATTTTGTTAGTTTTGTCTTTGTGCAATATTTTATTAAATGACTTTACAGGGCGACTTCCAGCCTCTAGGTGCAGCTGCCAAGACCCTGTAGGCACTGGCTGGGATATGGCAGGTGGCTCTGGCTTCCCATTCTTTTGTTCTGAGATGGGGGTGGGGTGGCATGTGCAGGATCTCATCTTTAGGCTCTAGGATGGTCAGGCAGAGGCTTCTCTGGTTGATCTTACCTCTTGGGTCCCAGGGCAGCATTATCTTTTACTTCGATGTCCCGCACAAACTGTCTGAGCAACACATGGCGCAGGCGGTATCAGTATAGTGGTTAATAGGGTGGATCTCCACACGCTTCATGGCCTTGGCCCTCTCCCTCAGAGCTTCCCAGACACTACACACAACCTGGAAGCCCTTGGCCCCACTCTCCATAATGAAGCTTAGCACACCATAGCAGCCCCTTGGATCAACCAGTCTTCCTACAAGTTTGTAACCTAGAGATTCCAGGTGGGTGTCTTTGTGCCCCAAATGTACATGTCTGTGCTACTTTTGATGGAAATGGCTATAAGGTCTTTTCTGTCTTTTAACTCTGGAGGGGTGGAGGAAAACTCTAGAGAAGTAGCAGATGGGAAGGGGATCCCTTAATGATACAGTTGGAGTTGGCCATCAAGGGGAGGGGACCCTACTGGAGCGTCCAACCCGTCCATCGTGGCGGCTGTTATAGATAGATGCCCATGGTCCTCATTGAAACAGTCAAGTCAGTGGTGTCGCCTTGTTTCAGAAGACATAGCAGCTAAGCTGCAGCACGCTAGTGAGGGAGGCAGGCTCTTAGACACATGCCGCTAGGCGAAAGCTGTGCCCGTTCAGGGAAGAAGATGGCCTTTGGGTTGGTGATTGTAAATGAGATTGAAAGATTGTTACAAGTGTGTATCTCAGTGCTGTGCACTGACTTAATACAGAGGCCAGGCACTTGGGGATGCCTGAAGTTCCAGTTCCTCCGAGTCAGGAGATCACAAGGCCAGGACTGGAGGCCAGACCCCAGTGGAGTTACTCTTTCTGGAGACACAAAAGTGGCTATTCATTCCAGATAGAGAGCAATGACACACTAAGAGAATGATCCCATCCACGTCAGGCATGGGAAACCAGGGAGCCCATGAGGGTGACTTACAGGAGCCTGGGGACCAGGAACACAGTTCAAAGGTAGCATCATTACTGAAATGCCTGTCCCAGAATAACAGGTACATTTTTGGCTTCTGTTCAGCTCTCAGGCAGGCAGCTGCACTGCTGAGCAGTCTCCTCTCCCCCCAATTGTTTGCTCAGCGCTTTCAGGACAGGCGTTGCTGAGTCCTGAAAGTTTCACAAACTTTCAGACTAGAAGTTTTTATTTCATGAGCTGGGCAGCCTCTCTTTGCTTGCTTAGTATTTCCTTTCCAACATTTAGAGCTTGTTTGGGATCATTTATTTTTATTCTAGTACTTTGACTATACTTTGACTAATAGGATAGGTAGGAATTTCTTTTTATTAGAGAATAGGCTCTGGAAAACTACTCGCTATATTGGAAAGGATCTTCACTCACATTTTTTTCTGAGTTACAGGTTGACTGGGGATTTGCTAAGAGCAGAGAAACAAAAGTTCGTGTATGCTAATAACACATCCTCTGCTTATCTAAGAGGAAAATAGCTTAGTTCCTTTCTTTTTTCCTCCTTATTTGACAGTCTCATTATGGAGCAACCGGATTTCTGAGAAATCTCTCTCCCTTCCTATATCTCTGTTCTGCCCCAGGCTTTCTTCCCTCTGTTGTCAGTAGTTGTGTAAATTCCCGACGAGGCTCTGGTTTCTCATCCTTGATTAGCTGGAAAGAAATATGAGGCGCCTCATGTTTTGAATGGACAGAATGTAACTGGAAAAAGTATGGATCCAATTTTTATCTTTCAGCTGTCAGTGCAGGAAACACAGTGGGAATAAGAGAGAATTTATTCTGAAGCCAGATACGATCCAGCGTGGTAACAGTCGCATGGTTTTACAGTAACAACAAAGGAAACCATAATTCCAGTGGCTTTGCAAATCCATTGGTGGAAACATCTGGTAGTCGGGTTCCATAAACGTGGGGAAATCTCAGTTCCAAGCCACAGATGCTATCTGAAGCATTCTTAGCCTTGTGGTTGGTGGAAGCTAGGAGTTTGTACATTCCAAACATTTATCTCATGTTCACACAGACGTTAGGTTCCATACCGAGATGGGGAATAAATGATTACCATGACACAAGATAATTTAGGCTCTGGACTTGCAACATTCCAACCTTTCCACATCATCGTGGTTCTCACAGTCGGTCAGCCTTTCCAGCCACAGCTTTGTTTCAGGGAGTCTGGACTTGTAGACGCTTCCTTTAGGTTTTTCAGCAAATGTCACTTCCTATTCCTCTGCTGGCTTTACTTTTGCCCTTAGCTGCTCAGCGTGTTATATATGTGAATAATACATTTTATTTATCTTTTCCATCTCTCCGACCGTTGTGACATTTCTATGAGGACAGTTTGTTTCGTTCTGACACCAGGCAGCACTCGGTAGTTCTTGATGAGTATTGAATGAAGGTCAACTCGAGCAGCCCTGTCTGGGACAGATGTCCAGCAGACATCTTAGAGTTGATTTGCTTTATTTATATCCATTTCTGAAACTGATGTCTGTGTGCAGTTCCTGTCTGGATGCCTGGCCTGATTCCTAGCTGAATTGTCTGTCTGTCATACTGCTTTTTTGTTTGTTTGTCTGCCCTGGATTAAAGGTGCCGGACCAGCTGAGAGTTTGGACTGTAATGAATGGTCAGACTCCATGTGGCGCTCGGCCACGATGTGGCGCTCGGCCACGATGTGGCGCTCTTTCTCCTTGTGCTCCGCCTCCCCGTGGCACTGCCTACTGATTGCTGCTTGATGGCGCCTCCCAGTGGCCACATTGCAGCGGCTGCCGCCGAACCCACTTTGGACCCTGTTTGCAGGGTTGCTGAGGGTATGTGCTTCCTGGAGAGCAGAGATGCTCAGTGTACTTGCTTTCCAGGACTGGTATGAAGTACCCTCTAGCCTTGCTTCTCATGTTTGCTGTTACTGATGCGGTCTGCATTCCTCAGATGTGGGGCCATCAGGCTGACAGCCCCAAATACAATACACTGTAGTTTGTTCCAGCAAAGTCCTGCTGACCTGAAGGTGTTCCCTGCTCCCCGATCGTAAACACTGGCACTGGTGTGAGGAGAAGAGATGTCTTGCTGGGTGCTGCTTCTCAGACATGAGCTAGAAAAGAGTGGGTGCCTTTATTCCATTTTTAAAAAAAGATTATACTTTTGGGGGGTGGGGCCAGAGAGAGGGCTCTTCTGAGTTCAGTTTTAGCACCTTCATTGGCAGCTCACAACTGCCTTAACTGTAGCTCTGGGGATCCAGTGATTAGTTTTTAAGCTCTTTATATATTCTAGGCCCTAATCTTCTGTCAGATGGATAGATGGCAAAGACATTCTCCCATTCTGTAGGCTGCCTCTTCACACAGTGAACAATTTCCTTTGTAGAACAGATTTTCCATTACGTCTCGCTTGCTGCTTGTTGGCCTATTGCCTGAGTGTCTAGAATCCAAGTAAGAAAGTCCTGTGTGTGCCTATATCTTTAAGCGTACACCCAACTTTAAATTGAGGTCTTTGATCCATTTGGAATTGATTTTTGTGCAAGGTAAGAGGTGAAGATCAAGTTTCATTTGTCTAAATGTAAACATACAGTTTTTCCAGGACCATTTGTTGAAAATGCTTTCTTTTTCATCTCTTTTTGGGGTGGGGTGGGATAGGGTTTGAGACAGGGTTTCTCTGTATAGCCGTGGGTGTCCTGGAACTTGCTTTGTAGACCAGGCTGACCTCGAACTCATAGATCTGCCTGCCTTTGCCTCCTGAGTACTGGGATTAAAGGCGTGCTCTAGCACCCAGCAATTTACAGGGTTTTTTTTTTTTTTAAGTATTTTATGTGTATATGTGTTGAAGAATATTATTTTAAGGTGTGTTACTTTTGTTTATGCTGCATTTGATTAACTGTGAAGCTGTGATTCTTTGCCTGTCTAAAACACCTGATGGTCCTAATAAAGAGCTGAATGGCCAATAGCGAGGCTTATGGGGGCCACAACAGCGTCACTCTTCTGGCTCCACTTCCTGCAACATACTTCTCTCTCTCGGGCTGGTTCCCTTTCTACTTTAGTGGGGGTGTTGGCAGGAAAGACTATTGTGGAGGCTGAGGTGATACAAGGCACCAGGCTCTCTCTCCAGTGGTGGTCCAGCAGTAACCCATCATGAAAGTGGAGTACCAATTGTCTGTGAAACAGTCGTTCTCTCCCTTAGCGTTATCGTAGAGAAAAGAGACACCAGCAGTGTAGTATGTTTGTTGTGGTGGTTATGAGTAGAGAAAAAGAAAATAGAAATCACAGTGAGATCAGTGATCGGTATCAGGTTGCCATGTAGAGGAGGGGACATATTAATAGGAAGAGTGGTAGATGAATAAAGATGGGGTGGAGATGCAGGAGTTTTGGTTAAAAGGAGACTCAGAAGAGAAGGTTAAAGATGTGCATGAAAGCAACGGGGCAGCCTTTTCTCTCTGGAGCTGGAGTCACAGAGACGCTAGGGCAGCCGGGATGCTAGGATATAGAGAGAAAAGAAAGAACACTAACGCCTCTAATTCTACTACTGGGGAAGCAGAGGTAGGCAGATCTCTGAGTTTGAGGCCAGCCTAGTCTACAAAGAGAGTTCCAGGACAGCCAGAGCTGTTACACAGAGAAACCCTGTCTCAAAAACAAAACAAAAGAATATTAAGAGGAAGAAAACAAACATGGAGGGACTGTGATGGCCTGCTACATTGGCTGGGTGTAGAAGGAAACAAGAGTTGGGAGGAGCATGGGTGTGGGGCCAGATACTCTACTGACTCCCTGACCTAGTAGGAGACTTGGGGTTCAGGCCAAAGTCTCAGTGTGTTCAACGACAAGACAAAGGTGCCTGGGAGCGGAGAGCAGGCGGGCTTGCTAGCTTCAGACGGTGATGCAGGACAAGTGGGCTCTCTAATTGCTAGCGGTTCACAGAGCTGGATTGAAGACTGGGCAGGCTGTTGTGGTGTCTCTCCCTCCCCACTTCCCTTCTCTGCCTGAAGTCTGCTCTGCTGTAAGCTGGTGGCTGATCTCCTGCTTTTGCCTTGAGTGCCAGGACTACAGTGTGCGCCATTAACCTGCCACGGTTCAGACTTTCGGAAAATAGGTAGGACATTTCAATTTCTTTAGATCAATTCTTGTCTTCCGTTTGGAACCCTGTCTGCCCTTTGGCCCGGTTTGCTTGTAATGTGGCACAGTATCGCATGGTTCCCTTCTTACAGACCTGGACCGGTTCCCTCCTAAGCTCTGGAGAGTTCGTAGGTCCTGTCTTGTTTTCAGACTTACGTGTTTAATTTCTGTGCGTAGTTTCGGATACAGTTGCCCGTTTTGACTGATGATTTGATGAGAGAATAAAAGGAGTCTTCCGGACAGACTCTATCCCTGACATAAAATGGTGAACTTTGGCCCAAATGATTGAAAGGAACAATATCATCACGGGTGACATGGTTTCATGTCTGAGTTGGTATTCTAGAAGCCATTGCCAAAGTATCTCTTGGTGGAAGAGAAAGAGAGAGAGCAGCTGACTGTGAGAGCTGGCCCGAGGAAGATCTTAAAGGTACCCAGGCACGCTTACCCAGGTCATCTTGTACAAGCAGGTGGCCTTTGCCTGTGAGCCCCTTGGCTCAGTCACTTCCTTGTGTCAGTGTATGTGGCTCCTAAGTGCCCCCTGGCGGGTCAGAGTGGCGGTGACCGGACTGCGTTCTGCCTGGTGGCCTGCACATCCTTCTGGGTGGTCTGTGTGCGGTGCTTTCTGTGGAGGAAGCCTTCCTCTTCTGATGTCTCTCCCTGTTTCCTGCTATGGTCAAATAACCTTGGGAAGACTCAATCCCTTTTTTCTGCCAGTTTTTATCTGGAAAACTTCAACAAAGTAAGTTGTCCCCCACAGCCCTTTGGTTTTTGGTTTGTTTTTCTTTCTTTTTTTAATTATTGATTTTATGTATATGAGTGCTCTGTCTGTACGCATACCAGCACACAGAAGAGGGCATCTGATCTCACTACAAATGGTTGTGAGCCCACAATGTGGTTGCTGGGAATTGAACTCAGGACCTCTGGAAGAGCAGCCAGTGCTCTTAACCTCTGAGTTGTCTCTCCAGCCCTTGTTTTTCTTTTTGATTTTTTGAAACAGGGTTTCTTTGTGTAGCTCTGGCTGTCCTGGAGTTCACTCTGTAGACCAGGCTGGCCACAAACTCATAGAGCTCCACCTGCCCCTGTGTCCCAATTGCTAGGTTTAAAGTGTATACCACCCCTGCCTGGCAGGTTTTTGTTTTGTTTTTTCCTTTGAGCAGGGTTTCATTGTAGACCAGACTGGTCTCAAACTCACTGTCTCTGCTTCCTACTGAGATCCCACTCTTTTTTTGTTTGTTTGTATTTTGTTTTGTTTTGATTTTTGGTTTTTTGAGATAGGTTTTTCTGTGTAGCTTTGAAACCTGTCCTGGTACTTGCTCTGTAGGCCAGACTGACCTCAAACTCACAGCGACCTGCCTGCCTCTGCCTCCCAAATGCAGGAATTAAAGGTGTGCACCACCACCCACTTCTTTTTATACTGTCACCCTTGCCTTCCTGGTTCATGATTTGGCTACATCTTGAACTAGAAGCTAATAGGCATTTATATGTAAAACGTTCATTTTATAAATGTACTAAAGCCCTCTCGTGAGCTACTTTGAAAGGAAACAGCCTTAGTTTTGACCTTGCGTTATAGAGAAGATTTATTTCTTAATCTGGAAATATGACTGCCCAAGACAAAAATTCCCTTCTACTTTTTTCAGCGAGGTTTCCCATACTCTCTGGGCCATCTTCGTCTAGCTATTTCAGAGAGGCCAGGAAGGCCCAAGCAGCCTGGGGACTCATCGGTGTGGTTACGTGCACTGTAGTGTAGAATAGGCTGATGGCTACTTAAATATTTGAAAAATGATTGTGTCTTAGGGTTATCATCACTGTGATGAAACACCGTGACCAAAGCCAAGCTGGGGAGGAAAAGGGTTTATTTGGCTTACCCCTCCACATCATGAAGGAAGTCAGGATGCATGCGTTTAGACGTGGGATGCAAACTTTTTTGTGTATGTGACAAATTTTGTTTTCTTTGTTCATTTATGATTTATGCAGGTAAAAAAGTTAAACTTCATTGAACCCTATTTAGTGAATTTCTTTGATTTGGAAAGAGAGAGTGTTTCCCAGGTCTCTTTGAGACTCTGCTGTGAAGTGACTTTCTGAGTCTGAGATTGCTCTGCCTGAGGCTGCCACCTTCCTGGCAGCTGCACCCCATGAACGTGCAGCGGCAACATGCATGCACAAAGGTAGTTCATCACACCCTCATCACACCTGTTAACAGACCCGAGCGAAGGGGACAGAGGCCTAAGCCGGAGTGACAGTGGGATTGTACCCGCCGGGCTAGGTGGAAGATGGGTCTTCAGGGCCCTGTGCTGCTGTGGCTCTACCATGTTTAGTATCTGTAAGTTACGGGAGCCTCTAGGTAATTCTTGTTGCTTTGCCCTTGTGGCTTTTGGTATAGCTGTGGTTCAGTCCATGTTGTGGGTCTGGAATGGGGCTGAAACTCTGCTGGTTGTGGGCGTGAGGGGCCCATGAGAGGGTGTGCAGCGTGGTCTGCAGCTAACAAGCCTAGCAAGGCTCTGGTCCTTGTCCCAGAGGCTCAGCTCTGCTCTTCTTCCCTGAGTAGGGGTTTCCACCCACCCATCTTCCCGCTCTCTGGGTAGTGAGCAGCTCCTGGGCCATTTTGGACCAGGCAGGACCATTCCACACTTGCTTGGTACAAGGAGCTGAGATTGTAGTGAGAAAAAAATTTCTCCAAGTTCTCAACTCCGCTGGGTTGAGCCTCAGTCTCCTCCCACCCTCGTCTATTACATGGAAAGGCTGGAGTGAGGGCTGCATAGCTTTAACTAATCCCTGGTTCTCCTGCGTTGCTCCTGATTTGGTTTGGTTTGGTTCTTCCAGGAAGAGCATGCTGAAGGAGAGGGTCATGGACTTGGTCACCCAGACGGCCATCTTGCCCCTGCTGTTTGGCTTCCTGGGGATTTTCAGCCTCTTCCGGGTGCTACAGCGGATCCGCTCAAGGGCTCACCTGAGGGATGCTGTGGTGGTGGTTACAGGTGCCACGTCAGGGCTTGGCAGAGGTAAGCCGCAGACCTGTGATGCCAGGAGTGGGATCGGCAGGCTACCTGGGCATCACATCTCATGCGGAAGGGATCCGCCCTCTGTGGTTCAATTGGAAAAGAAGGGCATGTGAGCAGTGGAAAAGGCCCGAACCCCAGTGTGTGGGGGGTGAAAGCGAGCGAAGAGGCTGCTGCTGGAAGCAGTGGCCTCCCTCAGCTCGGCTGCTTATTCAGAGGTGGATAGGTGTGTTTACCTTTTCCTGGCTTTGGTGATGCACTGGCCTTGGTTTTGGGGCTTGGTGCTGTCTTTCATGCTTCCCCTCCTCCCAGTCAGAGACTAAGCAGGATTAGAGGTCAGGTCCCTGAGGCCCCTGCTTTCCAAACCCAGGCCTTCAAGCTCAGTGCCCTTGCCCTTCAGTGATACATCTGAGTCTGGGGAAATGTGCTGGATGAAGCTCTGTCGATGACTCCAGCAGCCCAGGCAGAGGCTTACAACACACTTGCCACGTAGAGCGGCTGCCTGCCCTCTTTCCCCAGCCTCTGTCCCCCCCACCCCCCCACCCCCCCGTCGCAGCTCCTTGTGGCTCCAGTGCCACAGGGAGGACGTTGCGGACCCCTGGGATTGGGCTCAACTCTTGCCTCAGTACAGTGCGGCCTCAGCAGCGTGTTCCCAGCAGGTGTGGTGGAAAGGACAGTTAATCTGTGCTCTCACCATGGAGATTCCGGACACCGTGACCTGAGCTAGGATCTGTAGCCTCAGCTGCAGCGCTAGGAGCCAAACCCAGGTCTGACTCAGAGCTCAATCCTAAAACCTCAGCTCCCTTCAAACAATGTGTGGGTCGTAGGGGTCGTCCAGATGCCCCATCGGTGGGAGCAGAGGGTGAGAAAAGGTGTGGATGGAAGGTGGGTGTTACAGGAACACACAGGAGCAGACAGGCCTGCAGTGTGCCAGGGGGTTAGGGAAGGCTCTTGGGCTCACTTGTACATCCGATGCTGTGGCTGGTAGGCAGGGTCCCTGAGGGTGACCCCCGTGTTTGTCTTTAAATCTTTAGACTTTTTTTCTTTCTCCCTGAGTCAGGGTTTCTCTGTGTAACAGCCCTGGTTGTCTTGAAACTAGCTTTGTAGACCAGGCTGGCCTCAGACTCAGAGATTCACCTGCCTCTGCCTTCTGAGTGCTGGGATTAAAAAAAGGCGTGCACCACCACCGCCCGGTGGTCTTTAGACATTGTAGACAGCTGTTCCAGGCCCTATGCCATTGGTCAGCCCACTGACCTTACTCAGCTACTCTAAATAGGGTAGTCAGCAGCTGCTTCTTGGATCTCAGTGAGAAGGAGCAATTTGGGTCTTTTTTTTTTTTTTTTTTTGAGACAGGGTCTTACTGTAAAGCCCTAGCTGGCTAAGAATTGGCTATATAGACCAGGTTGGCCTTGAACTTGTGATGGTCTTCTTTTACACAGAGAAACCTTGTCTCGAAAAACAAAAAACAAAACAAAACAAAAAATTATGTATGTCACGCCTCTGGCTGGAAGCTTCCACTGGGCCTTACCTCCAAGCTCCACACTGGTCGGCACATGTTTCAGTGTGTGAGAGGCAGTCCTTGTGCAGCGCTGGGTGACTTTGAGCTGCCTGGAGGGGAAATGGTACTAGATAATTTCAGCTGTCTTTTCTTTTCCCTTAGAATGTGCCAGAGTCTTCCATGCTGCGGGGGCAAAGCTGGTGCTCTGTGGCCGAAACGTGGAAGCCCTTGAAGCCCTCACCAGTGAACTTGCTGGTTCTCGTACCTCCCAGGTGAGCCTATAGCAAGGGTTCTGTGGGGAAGGAAGTTTGAGACCCATCCGCATTTTACACCCGACATCGCCATCCAATGCCAGCCACTGCTGCCTCGTCCCCTCCATATTCATCTAGTAGGGTGTTGACTGGAGAGGTGATGATTTAAAAAAAAAAAAATCTTATGTGCTGGAGAGATGGATCAGAGGTTAAGAGCACTCACTGGCTGTTCTTCCAGAGGTCCTGAGTTCAATTCCCAGCAACCACGTGTTGGCTCACAAATGAGATCTGGTGCCCTCTTCTGGTCTGAAGGCATACAATAAAATAACCAGGCTGGCATCAAACTCACAGATACCTGTTGCCTCTGTCTTCCAAGTGCTGGGTTTAGAGGCCATGTGCCGCCACCCAGCAGTGCTGATCATTTTTAACAGAATGGGTTTTATTCTTGGAGAAATTCACACATGCATACAATGTATTTCAGTCTTATTTGCCACCTACTCTCTTCCAGCTCCTCCCAAATGCCCCTACTCCATCCCTCTCCTTTTAAAAATAACCCACCAAGACGGGCAGTGGTGGTGTAAGCCTTTAATACCCAGCACTTAGGAGGCAGAGTCAGGCAGATCTCTCTGAGTTCGAGGCCAGCCTGGTCTACAGAGTGATTTTCAGGACAGCCAGGACTGTTACACAGAAAAACCCTGTCTCACAAAAAAACAAATAAATAAATAAATAACCCACCAAGTCCATTTTATGCTTCTCTTTCCTATCAGCTGCATGAAGACCCCTTAGGGCTGTCCCCTGTATTCCTTGCAGGGCAAGGCTCATGGACCTGGGAATGCTTTCATCCCCCTTTCACTTTTGAAGGGCTGTTATGCTGTATGCTGACTTAGTGTTTTGTTATAATTTAGATCTAGCAGCCTGCTTTTGTTAGCCTTCAGGGTTTCTGGTGAACATGGGCCGTGCTCTGTGAAAGACCTTCATGTGAGGAGTCGTTTCTACTATTCTCAAGACTCCCTGTTGACATTTAATGACCTTTGTCCCGTTGTGGGTCACTGGTTCATCTGGTTGGTGGAGAGCGTCTGAGGTGGCGTTGAGTCATGTCTTTGGTGGGCCATTTCGTGTTTAAATACTTCTCAGAGCACCACATTTCCTACGTTGACTTGATAGAATACTATAGATTTCTTAGGCTCTGTCTTGCATTTTTTTTTGTTTAGATTTATTAATTTAAATGGTAATGTTTTGAGTTCATAGATTTCTTCTTTCCTCGCCTGCTTTTAGACGCTAGTGTAGTCACCTCTTCACTTATTGTACTTAAGCTCTAGAATTTTTTTTATTTTTTGGGTTTTTCAAGACATGGTTTCTCTCTGTAGTCCTGGCTATCCTCAAACTCACTCTGTAGACCAGGTTGTCCTCAAACTTAGAGATCTGCCTGCCTTTGCCTCCTCAGTGCTGGGATTAAAGGTGTATACTACCACTGTCTGACTAGAATTTCTTCTTGTAATTTCCCCTTTATTGAAATACTTTTTTTATTCATCTATATCCTGTTGCTGCCAGTGTCTTCCTTCATTCTTCCAGCATTGCAGAGATAGTTGTTTTAATGCCTTTGTTATTAAATCTAGTATCTCAGCCTCCTGGGGATTCTTTTTGGAGATTTATTTGTAATTTTGATGTTCCAAGGCAGTCTGCTAGCAGCTGTTTTCAGTGGCGGCTGTTGAAACAGAGCCCCCTGCACCTCAGGCACAAGCAGTAGGTCAGTTGTGAGTGGAGGCAAAGTTCCTGCTTGCCTGCTCTGGGTGCCCCAGGCTGCACCAGAAATACAGTCTGCCACAGTTGCCCGCCAGGTTTTGGTGGCAGCAGCTACCTGGTGACTGCAACCCACCCCTGGTAGCTGTGACTTGCCAGCCAGCATTCCCTTGGTAGTTACATCCAGGTAACCTGGAGCTTCAGGTCACTTCACAGGGTTTCCACTAGGACAGCTGTCCAGAGGTGATGGGTTCCCGAGCTTCCACTCTTGCTGAGCTGTGCGGAACTGTGCTGAGCCCCATCCTCTAGCTCCTGGGACTTACTCTGCAGCAGTTTTGTGACTGTAGAGGTGAACTGCCCTCCCCTTCAGACGGGTCAGCAGCCATGTCAGGCCCCCTGTCTGTGTCCCAGGGCCTTCCGGGAACACACGGATAACATGTCATAAACAGATGAGTAGATATGACAGCCAGGGAAGGACGGCACCTGTGACTGTCGAGTGCCATAATGTACAGTGTGGAGCAGCAGAGGCAGCTCCTGTTAATAACTCATGTGGTAACATACACACCATACATGATCCTTACCTGTAGCTCTCAGTTTGGCTGATGCAGGTAAGAGGGGCCCTTGGTCACATCTTGTAGAGTATAGCAGTCACCTTCAATCTAGGAGAAATTTGCCCAGAGAGACGTGAACACCCCAGGCTGGAACTGCATAGGCCGCGTCTTTGGAAGAGGGTTGCCACAACTTTATAGCATTTGTGCCAACTAGACCAGTCCCAAAACTGAAAAACAGGAACATGACTGCCACTCATGAAATACACTTTGTGTTTTTTATTTGGCCAGGGACAGACGTACAAACCTTACACGGTGACCTTCGACCTCACAGATCCTGGGGCTATTGCTGCAGCAGCAACTAAGATCCTCCAGTGCTTTGGCTATGTGGACATCCTCATCAACAATGCTGGGGTCAGCTACCGCGGTGCCATCAGTGACACCATAGTGGACGTGGACAGGAAGGTGATGGAGATAAACTACTTTGGCCCTGTTGCACTAACAAAAGGTAGGGGCATCTTGGGGTAGGACGTGTGAGCACCAGTTATTAGAATGCCTGTTAAGGGCTGGAGATATGGCTCAGTGGTTACGAGCACTGACTGCTCTTCCAGAGGACCCGGGTTCAATTCCCAGCACCCACATGGCAGCTCACAACTGTCTGAAGATCCAGTTGCAGGGGATCTGACATCTTCACACCAGTGCACATAAAATAAAGTTAGAATGCCTGTTAATCTTGCTTGGTTTCTTTTTAACGAGACACTGTCCCTGTCCATTCTGTCCCTTGCAGTGGGTGTGGTCATTAGAGTCTGGGTTTATATTTGCGTTGTGTTTGTTTTGCGCCCTCACGTAAGTGTTGGTCTCATTGATGCCGCTTTGCATTTCTTCTCCTCGGTACCTGCATCCCATAAAGTTTTGATTTACAGATACAGACTTCAGGTCAGAGGTTAAGCTCCCGGTAGGATGGGGAACTGTGCTGTTTGTATGGTTCTACAAGGAGAACTCTAGCGTCTCCTCCAGCAGCACCAGGCACAGTGATTAGGAGACGCTGTTGAACTTTCCACCCTGTCCCCACAGCACTCCTGCCCTCCATGGTCAAGAGGAAGCAAGGCCACATCGTCACCATCAGCAGCGTCCAGGGCAAGATCAGCATTCCTTTTCGATCAGCGTGTAAGTCCTTTCCCAGAGCATTTTATTTTAGTTTTTTCTGATTATAAAAATGATGTGTTCATTAGCTAGGCTCAGACCCTGTAGAAATACCCTACAGATGCATGAGTAACTTCATCAGAATGTTCTTTCTGGGTTTTTGTTTTATTTTGAGACACAGTTTTTCTACTTAGCCTTGGCTGTCTGGGAACTCAATCTGTAGGTCAGGCTGTCCTTGAGCTCACAGATTTGCCTGCCTCAGCCTCCCACACCCACCAATGACCAGAATGTTTAAGCAGTCACAGGCTGCCAGTCTAAATCCTAGCCTGTTCCTTATCCTTCAGGTGACCTTGGGCAGGAGTCCCTCCCTAAGCTCACCCTTACTCACAGTTGGAGACAGTTCAGCCTGAAGGCTGTTGAGGCCTGTAGTGGCCCTGGACTGAAACCCTCCCAGTACTTTGGGGCATATGGCTCCAATTTTTTTCTACTTAAACTGAAACATCCAAAATGGGATCATGTTTTATATAGTATTTCTGATTTGTTCAGTTTACTAGATAAGCATATAGGTTCTTTTAAGTAGATATAATTCAGTAATGTCTATGACAATTAATTTTGCCATTTTTATAGACACTGGGGAATCCCCCATCCCCACCTCAGACTTTGGCCCTTAGTAGTGATTTATGACAGAATATTCTTGACTATTAATATCTCTAGTAGCTCACAGAGAGATTAAGCCCTAAGAAGGTAACATTCCAGCATTAAAAGCACCCAGATGGCTTAGTTCACAAGCTGACTTCTTCCTTCGAGAGTGACGTGCTCCAGTCTCGGGTGTTGTTTCATTTGTCTGTCCTCTGTCACACATGCAGACAGACACACAGAATGTAGCTTCTAGTTTGGGCGGGGACGGGCTGCTTAAAAGGTTTGAAAGGTAATCTCACACACTCTGTAGTTATCTTTTTCCATGTGTCATTCTCCGAAAGGAAACACTGACTTGGTGCCAGCCTTGGCCCGTCCACCTCTGAGGACCCGTGTGATCTGGCTAGCTCTTGGGAAGGACAGTGACAACACTGGGTTCAGTAGAGGGCAGCTGACATGAAGAACATTTTCTTCCTCCTGGGTCCTGGACCTCAGTTCTGCCTTTTGGCTCTCCATGTGTGTCCTCGGACCTTCACTAAACTTCAGACCCTAAGCTCCCTACGCCACTCACGGTTGTCCTCGCGTACACACCTCCCAGGCTGGCTCAGGGATACAGTGAGATGTGCTCTGTAATTGAAGACCGTGCAGCCTTATGTTTCTATGAGGATTTCTCTGTTGTCTCATCTTTGTTTTAATCCTGACAGCATTGGACAGTTACCTAAGGCTGCTCAGATGACTCTGCAGAAAGCCAAAACCAAAACGCCATAATCAGGAATGACTAAGCAACTAAGGCCCAGTGTTACAATGGGTAAATTGGAGTAGCGGTTTAGAGAGTATGTAATGAGTTGTTATACTCCACATTTTACTTTGACTTATTTCCACTAGCTTTCTCTGCTTGCCCACTGACTGCAGCAGGTATACACAGAGGTCTGGATACTATATAGTTGACCAGATTGAGTCTGGCCAGCTTCCTAGGCGAGTAGGGTTAACCCAGTGATGAACAGCCTTTTAGCAGTCTAGTGGAGTAGCCTTATCCCCTTCTGCTGTAAGACTTCTGGGAAGTTCACAGCAGAGTACATACATTGGTTGGGGAGTGGCACTTTGTGTGCCACAGGAGGGGCCAGCTTTTGTTTCTTTTCTTTCCTTTTTTTTTTTTTTTTTTTTTTTTGAGCTTAAGGCCTTGTGAACCCAGGGCCTTGCTAGGCAAGTCCTCTACTACTAGGCTAAATCCCCAGCCCCACAGAGGGGCCAGCTTGAACTGGCAGTATTGTGGGCGTGGTGTGCAAAGCATAGCTGAAAGCCCATGGCCTGGGGGCTCTGGAGTGACCCCAGCTGTCAATATGGGCTTCTGGTCAGAGTCCCTGAGCACCTGACCCTGGACTGGGGAGCTGCTACTGGGGAGCAGAGGGGCGTGTCTCCTAAGCAGAACAGGCTTAGTTCTTCCATTTGGAAGCAGCCTTGAGTCTGCTCAGCCCTCCATGAGGGAGGCTCCCTGGGGCCATCTTCAGCAGTGACAAAGACTGGAAACAGCTTGCTAAGGCTCCTGTGGGGTCCAGTCTGTCACTGGGGGGATCCCCTCCCCACACAGGACTAGATAGACCCACTTGGCAGAGCTGAATGTGTGTGTACACAGAATAAAAATTATATATATATATATACACATATATATACACACACACGTATATGGTGTGCGTATACACACATGCCTATACATACACCATATATATACATAATTTTTTATGAGCCATTTGAGGACGCTGAAGGGATGGCAGCACTTTATTCCAGGACAAAGCGGACTTGTCAGAATCAGGACATGAACATGGCTGTAGTGTTGTAATCACCAGCATCCTTTCTGCTTCTGTCCACACCTACAGATGCAGCCTCCAAGCATGCCACCCAGGCATTCTTCGACTGTCTGCGTGCCGAGATGGAGCAGGATGGCATCGAGGTGACCGTGATAAGCCCTGGCTACATCTACACCAATCTCTCTGTAAATGCTGTCACTGCCGATGGCTCCAGATACGGAGGTAGGTCTGGTTTCTCTCCTCCATCAGAAAAGGGACAGGCTGGCCTGAGTGTTGGCTGCAGATGTGGATTGCTGTGGACCTGGCATCTCCCCACCCAGACCCCCTTGGCCTTATCACAAATTCAGCTTTTAGAACAAGATCCCCCATAGGTAGAGAACTGGGACATAAAATCCCTCACCAAATTTCCACTAACTCCTCTGCAGATCCCAAGGCCTAAGGAATATTATAATTAAGACTAAGTAAATTGAACTCAGCTAGCAGGAGCAGGAGTGGGGGGGGGTAGGGTCAGAGGAAGAAAGGGGCACTTGGCATGATCAGCTCCTGCCCGGGGTGTTGGAAAAATGGCTAGGGAGTGTTCAGGTGAGGCTGGATGAGGTGGGGCAGTATCAGTCTCTAACCTACCCAGCCAGAAGCTGTGCTGAGCTGACCTCAGGTGCTGCCCATGGGTTGAGCAGCCTGGCCCCTACTTATACATACAGGAGCAGACAAAGAACAGTTGCCTTCCATCTTGGGTCAACTATTAGAGCCAGCCTTACCTTCTCGAGCTTGGAGCAGGCCTGTTATCTGTCTGTCTAGCAGACTAACACTAAACCCTGCCACTAGGCTGTGGTCTGTGTTCTGTGGTCTACACTGCTGTTGTCCAGGTCCTGAGGGTCTCGCACCCATCTGAGCAGGCCTGAATCAAGACCACCCCAATCCGGGTGGCTACTTTGCCACACACAGCAGTCTCCTCATAGAAAGCCACAGTGGTAGGAGCCAGACAGCTGCAAACCTGTTCTCAATTTTCCATTCTCCTGTTGTGAGCACACAGGAAGACAGATCCCCGTGGGAGCTCGGGTTTTGGGTGGCGTGTGCTAATGGCCTCTTCTGTGTCTGTCAACCGGTTCTGCTCCACTAGTAAGATGGATGAGTCACCAGCAAAGAAGGAACATTAGATGCTGTTACCCTACACCCGCCTAACTGTCCCAGCTGTTCCTCCTCCAGCCCTTGCATGCCACTGGGAACTGGGACAGCTGTTTATTCCCATCTCAGTGCACAGGGGTGCACATGGGGTCAGATGGGCTCTACCATCTATTTCCTCTCCTGCGGACAGCCTTGTGAACCAGCCACGGCAGATCAGATAATATACCATCCCCTAGTCACTGCTTTTGCCCAAATGCAGAATATTCAAGGTCAAGAAAGCTCAGGCCATTAAATGGCTCATGGGGTAACACTGCCACCAAGCCTGATCTCTCTCTCTCTCTCTGTTTTTGTATTTATATGTATACGAATGCTCTACCTTCATGCAGGCCAGAAGAGGGAATCAGATCCTGTTATAGATGTTGTGAGCCACTATGTGGTTGCTGGGAATTGAACTCAGGACCTCTGGAAGAGCAACCAGTGTTCTTAGCTGCCGAGCCATCTCTTCAGTCCTGGCTATCTTGAGATGTGGGGTGGGGTCCACTCTGAGTCCTATCTATGCTGGCTTTTGGCATCTGTCACAGACTACCAAGCAAGCACACTGTCTAGTTAGTCGGTACCATACACTAACTGGTATACCACCTGCCATCCTGTCTGTATCTCTGCAGCCCCCATTTACCTGCTTTGAACCATAAACAGTTCATTTTCTCAGTGTAATCGTCTACTTCCAGGAGGGGCTCTGGGAAGCTGGCCTCATGGCTCTTACTTATCCTCATGTTCTTTCCTTCCGTTTGCTGTAGCTCTCGACAAGAACACAGCCCAGGGCAGAAGCCCTGCAGAGGTGGCCCAGGATGTCCTTGCTGCTGTGAGGAAGAAGAAAAAGGATGTGATCTTGACTGACTTACTGCCATTCTTGGCCGTCTATCTCAGAACTCTGGCTCCTGGGATTTTCTTCAGAATCATGGCCTCTAGGGCCAGAAAAGAGCGGAAATCCAAGAACTCGTGATGTTGGTCAGAGCTGCTAGCCTGGATCAGCCTGAGTACCACCCCTTCCTGGGCTGGGATTGTTCTGCAAGGGATTCATGGCTGAGACCTGACGGGCTGTCTTGCACTCTAAGGTGGACAGAAGCACTTCTGTTCTCTCTGGGGGTGGGTTAGCCTGTTAGAACTAAAATGTGGAGTTGGGCTGGGACTCTACAGATGTAAAATAAATGACTGAACAGTAGGTCAGAGTTCTCAGTAGAAGAGCCGCATGTCCTCTGAGGCCTGGACCTGCCAGATTCCAGAAGTTCTTGTGGAGGTTTGGGAACTAGGTCCCCTCACTGCACCAACTCCATATCTGTTTTTTGGTTTGTTGTTGTTTTCTGAGACAGGATTTCTCTTGTGTAGCCCTGGCTGTCCTGAAACTCCCTCTGTAGGCAAGGCTGGCCTCAGACTCGGAGATCAGCCTGCTTCTGCCTCCAAAGTGCTGGGATTAAAGGCGTGCACCATCACCGTCCAGCCACCTCTGACTTACTGAAAATGGATTCACTGAGCAGGTCAACTTCATTTCCAAGTTTAGAAAGAGATTTTTCCTGTTACAGAAACTGACAGCTGAAAATCATAGGAAGTCCATTGGCCATTTCCCCAAATCAAAGTAAATCTCCCACATAAAGCTGTCGTCTTCACTCAGCTCTGGGTCTGCCACACTGCCTTTTAAGATCACTTAATAGATATAGGTCTGCCCTTAGCTCACTCCCGCTCTCACCCGCCAGCCACCTTAGGTCCCCATCCCTTTCACTTCTATTTTAATGCATATGAGATTTAGGAACCACAAACTAGGAAACATGCGATACTTATTTTCTGAGACTGGTTAATTCATGATATTGTCTCCTGTTGGGTTCATTTTTCCACAAATGTACAAGACTTCATTCTTTATGACTGAAGAAAGCCTTATCTGTGTTTCGTGTCTGATGCTGGAGACCTAGGCTGGTGGCATAGCTTAGCCGTTGTGAATAGTGCTTCAGTGCACACTGCTGACTACGTCCTTGAGGTGAACATCAAGGGGTGGTACGTGACAGATCTAGAGTGTTGGTTGTTTTTGTTTGCTTGTTTTTTTGAGACCAGGTTTCTCTGTAGCTTTGGAGCCTATCCTGGAACTAGCTCTTCCGTGCTGGCCCAAACTCAGAGATCCACCTGCATCCACCTGTGCTGGAACTAAAGGCATGCACCACCACTACCTGGCCAGATCTATGTATGGTGTTATGAGAAACTTCCATACTGGTTTCTGTGAGGTCACAGTAGTTTAGATTCTATTCAGCAGTGCATGAAGGTTCCCTTTTATCTACATCCAAGTCAGCATTTGCTGGTTTTTTTCCTGGCCTTTTGAGATAGGGTCTCTGTATAGCCCCTGGCTGTTCTGGAACTCCCTCTGTGGACCAAGTTGGCCTTGAACCTGCCACCCGAGTGCTGGGATTAAAGGTGTGTGCCACCACTGCCCAGTGCATTTGCTGTTTTGGTCCCCCACCCCCTTTTTCTTAACAGTTTGAGTTTCGCATCTTACATGGAAGTATCTCATTTGGAATCGACTTGTGCAGGGTGAGATGAAAATCTAGTTTCATTCTTGACCATGTGGATGCTCAGGCCTCAAAGCACCATTTGTGCATTTTTGACATCTTCGTAAAAAGTTTTTTTTTTTTTTGATTTTTCAAGACAGGGTTTCTCTATGGCTTTGGAGCCTGTCCTTAATCTGTGTCTCTTATTTTGTTCCATTAATCTATGTCTGTGTTCAATGCCAATACTGTGGCATTTTTGTTACTATGACTCTAATAAAACTTGAAGTCGGGGGCTGGGGAGATGGCTCAGAGGTTAAGAGCACTGGCTGTTCTTCCAGAGATCTTGAGTTCAATTTTCAGCAACCACATGGTAGCTCACAAGCATCTATAATGAGATCTGGTGCCCTCTTCTGGTGTGCAGGCAGAACACTATACTGAAGTCATTTATAGTGTTAACTGCCCACATTTACTTTTTTTAAAAATAATTTTAAACTTCATTTTATGTACATTGGTGTGAAGGTGTCAGATCTTGTGGAACTGCATTTTCAAACAGTTGTGAGCTGCCATGTGGGTGCTGGGAATTGAACCCGGGTCCTCTGGAAGAGCAGTCAGTGCTCTTAACCGCTGAGCCGTATCTCCAGCCCCCCACATTTACTTTTTTAAAGATTACTTTGGCTATCTGGGTTTTCTTTCTCTCTCTCTCTGTGCTTCCAAGGTTAGTTTTTCTAGTTTTTATTTTAGTGCAGTTGCATTGACTCTGTAGCTATCGTTTGATATGGTGGCCAGTTTCCTTCTTCCCTCCCAGACTGTATCTCAGTCTGGCCTCAAACTCACTGTCTCACTGTGGTAAGGATGGCTTTTAACTCCCCCCTTTTCAGGACAAGGTTTCTCTGTAGTCTTAGACCCTGTCCTGGAACTAACTCTTGTAGACCAGGCTGACCTTGAACTCACAGAGATCCACCTGCCTCTGCCTCCCAAGTGCTGGGATTAAAGGTTCACCACTGCCTGGTGGCTTTTAACTTCCAATCCTCCCACCCTGCCTTCTCTAGTTTCTATGCATGTGTCACTATGCCAATTTGGGAATGGTTAAGATCAGACCTAGGGCCTCATGCATGCTAGGCAGTCACTTACAAACTGAATTACATCCATAACCCCAAATAGTCATTTTTACAACATTAATTCTCCCAGCCCATTAAGAATGGAGATCCTGCCTGGGCGGTGGTAGTGCACACCTTTAATCCCAGCACTTGGGAGGCAGGGGTGAGGTGGGGGGTGGGCAGAGGCAGGCAGATCTCTGTGAGTTCGAGGCCAGCCTGGTCTACAAAAAAAAAATACAAGAAAAGAAACAAAAAAAAAAAAAAATAAAATAAAAAAAAAAAAAAAAAAAAAAAAAAAAAAAAAAAAAGAAAAAATAAACAAATAAAAAATAAACAATTTTTTTTTTCAAGACAGACTGGAACAGTCTATTTGTAGACCAGGCAGCCTTGGACTATCAAGATCCACTTGCCTCTACCTCTTTAGTGCTGGGATTAAAGGTGTTCACCACCACCCCAATCAGTTTCTTTCTCGAATATTTTAATGTTCTTTGTAGAGGTTTTTAACCTCATACCGAGGATGCTTTTCAGTTACTTTTCTGGTGGTGTCTTTAGAGTCACAAAGAAGCCGAATTTGCAAACAAGGATACTTTCCTCCTTTCCTGTTTAATTTGCCTCTTATTGTTGAGCTGTATGGGTGTTTTGTCTGCATGTATATCTATGTACCATGTGCAATGCCTGCTGCCTGTGGCAGCCAGAGATGGTACATCAGATTTCCTGGGACTGGAGTTACTGCCGGGTTTTAAGCTGCCATGTGGTGCTAGGAATGGAATGGCTCCTCTGGAAGAACAGCCAGTACCCTTAGCTTCTCAGCCGTCTCTCCAGTGCCGTGTGCTGCTCTCTCACCCTGATAGGTGATTAAAACGGCTGCAGATAGCTAGGGTCAGTGTTGGAGGCTTTCAAATTCCCCGGGAGGAGGAAGTTGAGTGGGTGATTAGATCTGTGGCTTATTTCCCCTGCTCACACATTGTCCTGAATGGCCCAAAAACTGTGGGTGAAACATGGATACAGATCATAGGTGGCCTGCCATCTTCCACAGGTGCCATCCACCCTCCTGCCAGGGAGGATGCCAGCAGCCAACTATGCCAGGGCTGCAGCCTAGTCCCTGGTAGCATGAAGCTACAAAGCACCCTGCATATTCCTAGTGAACTGCAGCAAGGACAAGCCCCAGCATAGAAATAACACTTTCTCTGACACTTGTTGGCTGGCACTTTGAGAAGGGTCACATCCAGCTACCATTCTTTCCATTAAATAAAGTGGTAAGCCATAGCAACAGCACACTCGGTCATCAGAGGAGGGAACATCAACCTGGTTGACAGAGGTCAGTTTAGGAGACACTGGTAGGCAGCTTAAAACCACTGAGTGCTCACAAGTGAGGGCACAAGGATCCGAGTAACCTGCGCATTCATGGACAATAGCCATGTCCTTTGTTTCTCATGCAAGATGATGATCTACGCCCTGGGCCAGAGGGCAAGAGAACCACCAGCAGCAAGGTTGTGTAATACATGACTATTCCCGCCAAGCTGAGTCCCCTCTTCCTATCTGCTGTCACCCAGGAAACTGGACGCTTAGAAGCCACAGCCCACCTTCAACTAGTGCTCTCTTGGACAAACTTTATTCCTGACATTTCCGCCCAGTAGCTGAATGTGAGAGCAGCTGCCAGCCACGGTTGCAGTGCTGCAGCTGTCCTGACTTCCTGTTCTCTGGAAAAGTGTCCCCTATCCTGAAATTCCTTAAGGTATTCTGGTGGTCAAAGTTGAGTCTTGCTCTTTAAACCTTGTGGTGTCCAGTCACTGGTGCTTCTCGACCCAGCTGCTGACACCCTACAGGGCAAGCAACAGGGTAAGCTCATGCCTCATAGGCTCAAGGGCAGTCACTGAACCAGAGGTGTAACCAGGGTGAGACCCAGTGGAAGGAGCTCCCACGATCTGCCGCTCCATGTTTCCTGTTAACTGCTCCTTCACAGAGCTTTTTGCTCCTGAAAGTGGATTAAGTGGGTAGACAGTTAAGACCAGACTGGTTTGTTAGATTCATTCCATGACCCATGCCTTAAAAGGACCACACAGAACTGCATCCGGTGGGTTTCCAACAGGGTCTAAGTTGTGCAGTTTTTCTTCTCAACAGAGAAAGCTACTGCGAAAACATTGTGGCTATCACCAGAAATGAGGTTCACAGGCTGCCTCTCTCAGAGCCCAGCCCAGGCACACCCAACCCTACCCTGCTAGCTAGGGGCCAAACCAAGATGGCATTTCAGAATCTGGGTTAGTCCACTCAACAAGAGTCACTTTGTTCAGTACAGCTTGGGAAATAGGAAGGAGCTGTTTGTACCTGGTTTCTATTTTGGGCAAGGGCATCTGCAAAGCTGAAATGAGGTCCCCAGCCCACAGTCACCTCCCTACACCCCATGCAATCTGATGTGCAGAAAGAACACAGCCAAACCAGGTGATGCTTGTTACAAAAAACCCCTCCCAGGCAGTGCTTGCCCAGCAGGCTCAGAGCCAACCTTTAGGCACTTGGGGTTCTCAGAGGCCCCAGAAACAGCTGAGATTGCTTGTGGCTAAGGCAGCTACCTCTTCACCATCCTGATCTACCACACTGCCACATAACAATACTCTGTGTAGATAACATCATCTCATCACTGAGTACTCACTGAGCCAGCAGTATTTCTACAGTACATGGAATGAAGTCAAAGCTTTTTGTACTTCTGTGGGCTTTTGAAAATAATGCCCAAACTCTGGATCTCTTTTATCACAAATGTCCCAATCGCCCCTGGGAGTTCTCTAAAACCTCGTTTCCCTTACCTCCAGGTTAGGACTCCTTCCTCATGCTGGGTGTCAGAACTTCCCTTGGCTGTTTACTAAAGACCACAGAAGCGCTATGCCTCGCTATGCCTCAGCCTTTGTGCGGGGATCATTTTCCACTTACTGAAAGCCTTAGGAAAAAGACACAAAGCTGGGCGTGGTGGCACATGGTTTAATTCCAGCAACCAGGAGGCAGACAAAAGATCTGAGTTCCAGGCCCAGCTGGTCTACACAGCAAGAAA